GAAAACTGTAAAAGATGAGCAATTCTTTTCTGTTCTACTAGAGACTGAATGCTAATCACTAGTACATGAATCTTCAAAATGTATTTTTTCTGAGTGATCATGATTTGGTGGGAATGTTTTGCATGACTTGGGAGAGGACAGTGATAATTGTCTTTTGGAATAACACATTTTACTTTTACCTCACAGTGGGCTATTAAAGGATATCTTAGTGGTTTAGGAGTCAGACACATACATTCACAGAGCTAGAAATCATTTAATTCACTTCGTTATATGAAGTATGTACTTAATACTTATAAAACTTCAGAGGAGACTGAAATTAATGAAATTAAATGAACTGTTTAAGCTGTAAGGAAACAGCTCATTCGTGTAAGGCAGGGACCAGAATCTAAGCTCTATTTTTTTCATCCAGTACTTATTTCTAACTGCCATATTTCGGGTCTTAACTGAAAATTTAGTGCTTAATTTTTGGGGATTGTTATACAGTGAATGAATTTCCAGTTGGTTGGGGAAGATGGGAGAAAATAGTAAATATTTTTTTTTAAATGATAGATTTGAATACTTATTTATGTATCTTTTATTGATCAGTGACTGCTTATTTTAGTTATTAGTTCATTTCTGACCTGTGCCTTCCAGCATGATGCTAGTTATGAGGGGAACTTTATAGTACGGTTGGATAAGTGAAGTACATCACATTGCTGTCAACAATAGCTCAGTGGATAATTTACTGAATGTATGTTTTCCTTTGAATGTGGATAGCACCATTAATTTGAATTAACATATGTCCAAGATAGCCTGAGCCAAAGTTATCTCTCAAAGGGAGAGTTCTAGAATTGGACTTATTGAATTCCTTGAAATAGCATGCAAAATTTTGTCTGTGTGCATTTTTCTGTCAAGAATGTCGCATGGTTTTTATTAGCTTTTTAAGGGGGAGCGGGGTATGTGATTGGGAAAAAGGTTTAAGAACCACTGTTTTAATGGGTGGTATTCAGATCCATAATACTAGACTTTTCCCCTCTACTTTTTCACTTAAATAACCAAATCTTTGAAATGTTGCATCTTAGATTTGATGTCACCAAAAAGAAATCTTTATTTCATCTCCAGAAATTTTGCAGGATCCCATCGTGATTTTCTTTATTCCTGGAGGCCTTTAATGCCATTTTGTGACCCACCCACTTAAGTCAAAATTACAGCATTTCAGTGTCCTAAATGTATAATATAAGTGGGTCAAGAAATTTTTTACATGCAAGATGGTTGGAAGATATTAAAAATGAACCTTAATGGGAAGTTGGAATTAGTCCTGTAGAGCCTGGATTGAGACGTTTTTATGGCTTATAGGGTTTCCCCCCCCCATATTCTTTTGCCAGAAGCCAAAATCTACCATGCCTTTTTTTGTTTGTTTTAATCAGATGTCTCTCTCTACCTACCCCCCCCCACACACGCACACACGCATGCACACGTGCACACCCAATCATCATGATGACAGTGCTGTAAGTATTCTTCCGTTTCCCTGCACTCACCCCTCACTCCTCTCCCTCTTTTCTGTAACTCTAGGAATTGCTTTTTTTATGAAAAGCCAGCCCCTTTATAATTCTCAGTCTGTTTTACTAGCGTTTTTTCCACTGCCTTGCTTCATTTATATCCTCTCAAACCTCAGAACCTGGAAGGTCAGCTTTGATCTCTTTCCTGCCTTTCCAACATCGTTTTTCTTCTAGTTCCCTACCCGTCCCCAATTTCTGCTCCTTTGAAGTTCTTGTCTTTTTCCTGAACCAGCCTTTTGTTAGTTCTTACTGCTGTCATCTACTGAACAACCTCCTGGCCACTTTTTCTTATTCACCAAAGGCTTTAGCAGCTGCCTTACAGTTTTCTTCTTCAACCTAAGCTCTTCATGATCATAACTTACTTGTGCATATATATGGAAAAAACAGCAGCAAATCCAACACCGTGGACTTAGTTCCTTGACTTCCTCATTTCCAGTGACCTTTTCCTCTCATCAGCAATTCATTATAATTTCCTCCTTGAAAATCACTAATATCACACATGCCATTCTGACCACAACCACTTCTAGTGTGCTTCTCATACCATGATCTTTCTTGACCCATAGACCCCTCTACTTCCTCCTGATGCATCACCACTCTTCCTTTGTCATTTTGTTTTTTAAATCTAGCTTAGATTTCATGATTTATAATTTTAATACTTTTTTTTTTGGCTAGTATCTATCAACTGCCTTGTTGCTTTCTCCTTGCACCTGTTGCTTTCTCCTTGTACCTTAACTCTGAATGAAGCAGTTAATGCCTTCTCAGTGCCTTTTCCTAAATGGCTGAACATTGCTAGAGAAAGTCACACAGAAAGGCAGATTGATTCCACTATAAATTCATTATCACACATCTGAAATGGGCCCTCAATACTGTCCAGCAAGTCCCCCAATTTTTATGTCCAACTCATCCTCCTTTCTGCGACAATTATTGAAAACCTTATTCACTTCTCAAATCTTTTTACTTTCACGGTCCACTTTCAGTCTCAGCAGGTAGCTAGCTGCTATATTGTGGAGAAAATAGAAGCCATCCATTAGGAATTTTCATCTTCCAGCCCCTAACCATACAAAGCTGTCTTCTATTGTGCTAAAAGAGCCTTTCTCCTATCTTAGTTCAGTTTCTACCTCTCTTTTCTTCCTAATATATTCAACCAATACCTCTCAATTTTGTCTTCTCCATCAGCTTGATCCCACAGTCCCCTTCTACCATCATTGTACCACATTCCCCCTTTCCAGCCAAACTTTTAAAAAGAGTTGTGTTTATACATATACAATTCCTTATCTAAAGTCATTGGGGCCACATTTGATTCAGAATTCAGAATTTTTTGGATCTAGAAAAGCATTAACATGTACATATCATCTTTGGTATACTAGCTCCACTGGGTTGTGGAGCAGTACCCTGTAATCAAACACATTGCTATTTTTGCCCTGAAATGTATATGTAGCTTTTCACCATAAGTCAGATAAACAAAGATAAATAGCCTTACCTCAGTCCACTTCCACATTTTACTTCCAAATGAGTTATTAAAAAAGCAAAAACAAAACTTTAATATTTCACTGCTTTTGGATTTTGAAATTATTGATAAGAGGTAGTGGACATGCACTTCTGCCTCTGTATTCTGACCTTCCCTATATTTTTAAACCCATTCTGACATTTACTTCCCTCACTTCTTGCAAATGGCCCTTGCTAACTCTACCAATGACCTTTATCTAAAATGATCCTGTCACCAGTGAATGTTTTCACTTCTCATCAAAGTTCACTGACTAGCAGTTTCAGATCCTGGTGAAACCAACTCCATCAAACACTGTCTTCCCTTAGCTTCCTTGACACCACCCTCTGCTGGCTAGCCTTCACCTTTTTTGCAGGCTCATCTTGAGGTTAAATGGTAGAGTTCTTCCAGGGCTTTGTCCTAGGACCATTTCTATTACCTATACTCACTCCCTTGGTGATCTCACTTATGTCTCTGTCTTCAACGACCATTTATGTGCTGATGAAGCACAAATATATACTCCAGCTCTCCTTCAAGCTTGACTGATATGTTCAACTACCTACTTGACATTCCCTTTTGGAAGTCTCATATGGTCCAAATTCCTAATATGTCTCAATCTCATGATGTTTCCATCCCCAAAGTGGTTATTTCAAATGTTGATCTGTACTTTATCCTCCTCTCTCTTTTTCTCCTTTCCCCTACTTGATTACCTCATTTTGTTGGTTAGAACAAACATTAGGATCTTTGCTATGACCTAAGCTGGCCCTACTCACCTCTCCCGCTTCACTTAGCTTCCCTTCTGCTTTCTCTTCCTTTGAAGTAATCATGCTTCTTCCTGCAGCAGAGCTGTTATATAAGCTGTTCTCTCTGTTTGGAATGTTCTTCCTTTCTATAGTTAATTTCTACTCATTTTTTTGCATCTTGGCTCCAATTCTCACTTTCTTAAGGAAGCTCTGTAATTCATGTGTCCCATCATTAAATCTCATGGCACCCATATACAAATCTTTATAACACTAATAATAGTTTTTAATTTTACATTTTTAAAATCATTTAGTATGTTTTCCCCACTAGACTGTAAGCTCCCTTGGCATAAGTATTATGTCTGCTCTTGTTCACCATTATATTTCAGCATAGTGCCTGGCATGTAGTAGGCAAATACCAAACATTTTGAATGAATTCTGTTCATTAATTTATCTTTTCTAATTTTTTTAGTAGTTTATATATATATGTTTACCACTGTAGCACATACATTTTGCATAGTTTTATGTGGACCTAATCCTGATGGTACTTTATATAAAAATTATAAATATACATTTAAAAAAACTCAGTGAATTATTATAAAAGGATCAAATGCATAAAAATCTTACTTTAATCTAGCTCATAATTTATTCTCCTTCATGTTTTTAATTCATTTTTTCTACATTGACCTCTTCCCCCATATTCTTTGTAGGTATCAGATACAGATATCTTACTAAGTCTATTGTTGTATGCAGGTAAAATATATACAGTGTTCCAGCACAATTCAGCAGACATTCAGCATGTTCATCAATTCATAAAACTCACAGGATTATAAATAGTTTAGCCATCTGCTAACTGACCAGACAATTTTAGTATTGTGAAAGGGCGTGGTAGGAGAGGGAGGTATAGGGTCTAGGTATAATGTCAGAACATGGTTCATAGCAGAAACCACCTTGTGACATCTTAATACTGAAACTTAACAGTCAGTTCAAAATTAGGAAGAGATTTGGTGGAGGTTAAGCATAGAAGAGCCCTGACAATAGGGGATTTCCCAGAATAGGGTGATAGAGGAATTTCTTTCATCATTTTTATATCTTACTAAATTTTTTTTTGAGAAAAAATTTGTTTATAAATAAATGAATTCTGTGAAAGTTATCATAATCTATAATTTACATGATATGTAACATATACTTCTATAAATCAACTTTAAATAATTAACGTTTTATATTTTACTTTATTAGGAAAATCAGTAGGTTCCCAGTCATCTCGAAGTGAATCTGAAATTGTGCCAAAAGTTGCTAAAATGACTGTATCTGGAAAGAAGCAAACTATGGGATTTGAAGTGCCTGGGTAAGATTTTAAATCTTTCTTTCCTCCCCTTTTTTGAAACTGGTATTGTCTCCTATTAATCTGTTTGCATTTAGGTATCATATGTCCTCAGTATAACCTAGTACAAAGAGAAGGGGATGAGAAATTAGCCTTATCTATGTGTATTATTTACTTTATCTCACTGTCAGTTTCCTCACATAAATTAAATAATTTATTTAACAAAAAACGCCTCTAGTGCTGTGAGAGGGAATTCTTATACCGCTAGGTGGTGTAGGCAAGCAGGGTTTGAGAATTACATGTAACCAGTGAATTATGGAATCATTAATTACATTTTTTAATAACTAAAATATCTTTAAACTCTTTTAGATTTTCATGTTGAATAAAATGAATCATTGTCGCAAAGACATGTAAAATGAAACATACCTAGAATTTCAAATAACTAATGAAAAAAGGTAGTAAGTCATACATTTGTAGAGTTCATGTGATCTTTCATGTCATAGTTTCTAGAATTCTTCCAGGAGTTTTTATAGGCAAGAGAAGTGACTTACTTGAAGCTCAAAAATACAGTTTGAAAATATTAATTTTTAACCTCTTTAAAATTTTTCAGATTTTTTTAATCATTCCTTAAATCTATTACTTATAAATTATATGTATTTTGTCTGCCAAAAAGATAGAAAAGAAACACTGTTATCAGATATAAACAATAGAGGGGTTTTTTTTAAACTTCAAGAAACGTAAACTCAACAGCCTTATTTTTTCTCCCTTATAGCATTCTTTTATCTAGATTAATGGAAGTATCATGAGTTTTGTTGGGAAGAATCTTAATGAACACTTAATTTAATTTTTGGATTTTATAAAAGCAAGGCTTTATTCACTAGATTTCAAATTTAATGAGGGCAAGGACTGTGTCTAGGACATAGGAGGCATTCAGTGTACATTAGTTGCATAATTGGATGAATGAAAAACTTAATTTGTATCTTGTTAACTTTAGCCCATTAAAATAATTTTGAATTCTGATCCAGTCACAAAAAGCTTAATGTATGTCTTTCTTCTCTCTGAATTGGGTTGTGTTGTCAGAATCATAAATGCTCTTTTTATCCTTATGTCTTGAGTGCCATTTAATTTTATTTGATTATTTCCAGTGAGAGAGAGAAATAAAATTGTACACAATTCCTTGATCTAAAGCTTTTGTAATCTTAATGCAAAAGGTTGCGGAAGTCTTAGAAAGCAACATGCAAATAAGCCCAAATCACTATATTAAAAATAAATGCATAGTTATCTAAGTGAATAATTATAAAAATAATGGGTAATAAATGATAAAAAATAAAAATAAATAGTCAATACAAATAAATAATTCTTGAAAACCCAACTCTGTACTTTATAAGTGCATTCTGCATCTTTCAGAATTTTACAAAATTATATGCTTCATGGGGACAGAGACCATTATTGTTCTCCACTGAATTCCTTTCACAGAATAGTCTTTTAAATATTTATTGATCAGAGTCCTTGGAGAGATACATATTATTTTAAAAATAAACTTGGAAGTAGTATAAAGGTAAAAATATAGCCTTGAGCCTACATTTTGATGTGGCCCTGTGGGAAAAGTCATCAGAATGTGAAAGTTCTGTAGTTACAGATTGAGATACTAAGAAATGCTTATTAGAGCTCAAGGCCAACCAAGCTATACTTCCATACAATTTTTTTTGAGATTTAAAATAGATATAATAATTAGGCTATTCTGGTTTAGTCTCAAGAAAACACACAAATATAATGAAACACTTTTGAGTCAAGATTTCAGGATCATAGTGTGATTCTAAATGGTGTCTTATAAAAAAATGGATAATGCATTGCTTGGAAGGAGCTAAATCAGCAAACTTCTTCGCTAATATTAAAAACAGTAAATATCTCTGTAGAAGATACATGTAAGTAAAAATGCCTAGCGTATTGCACATAGATCAAATACTGTAAGTTTAAGCTTTTAAATCTGAAATATTAGCTTCTAAGTATTGAATTTAAGAAGAAAGATTAAACCTGTAGATTCATGTATAAATAGTCCCACTTTGGGAAGATGGTTTTTTTAAAAATAGACTAGTCATTTTGTAATATTAAATAAAGTTTCAAAATTATACTAGAAATCACCTGAAAAAAATTCAACTAACTTATTCTTTCATTCATACCAGTCAGTAATTATAGGCCTGAATCCAGAATGGTCATTTCTAGACCTCATATTAGAGATTTCTCAAATCTTAAAACATTGAATTTTATTTCATAATATTCAGAAGTTTTTACTAAGTACGGACTTTCCTAGGACACTTTTCTAATTACTTTGGTCACTTCTCTCTAGTATTATACAATTTTAGTGAATTAATTTGCAGTTAACCTAAGACCCACTTGAAACGGAATGTTAACCTGAAAGCAAGAGAAAAACACACCTTTCATGTTGTTGAATTGGAAATGAAATTATAAAATCAGTTGTATGTTTTGGGAAGCCTTTCCTATGCCAAACAACCCTTCTCAGGGCTGCCTGGATTAGTGGGCGAGTTGGGCTCAAGGCCCTACCTATTCTGTCAACTATAGCTGGTTCTGCTTGTGTCTGTTTTCCATATTAGATTCATTATAAGCTTTCCTCTGAAGAAAAGATTCTGTAGCTAAAAACAAAAAGATTTGAAGCCAGAGATTGTAGTTTCTCCCAGGTCTGATTGGAATGTGAGCCTACCTTTTGTCAGTCTGGTAGAATACTTTTATTGTAATTTGTAGTTTTTTTTCACTCCTCTAAGTGCAGAGTTGTTGTGTTTGGGTTTTGGAACTGGCTGTGGTCATTCAAATAAATGGTTCAAATTATAGCCTGCATTTGATTTTACTTCATTTAGCCTGTTAGAATCCTTTACAAGTATGGGAACATTTTCCACATACTAAATTTTTTTCCTAGTGGTTCAAGATGAAGTTAATTTGTCTAAGCAGTGCTAAAAAGTGAACACCTAAATTGGTTGGTGGAGATTTGAAAAAGCAAAATAAAATGAGAATGGATATAGGGTTTTTTAATGAAGTTGGAAATTTAAGGAACATGACTCTTTTCCTGAGGCATAGGATAAAGAATTAACATGAAGCATATAAAAATGCCCTGAGAAGGGAAAACTAATCTGTATTTTTGTTACAGTGGGCAAGAAGAAAATAACCTATTTTTCTTGTACATTTACATTATACTGCAATCTTAAGTGATTATTATAAACTGCTTTTTGTATGTACTTCTCTGACAGCTCCACATTAATTTTGGATGTAATTGTCTTCGTTCTTAATAACTTGCAATTTAACCTGCTCTTCGTCCTAATTCTACTTATCCATAGTTATTAGAGGAAATGTAAGGCATATCTGGTTGATTAGTTCATATTCTTTATAACTGTTATGTGGGATAGCACTGGTACTAGTTTCTACAGAGAGTAGTCAAAGAGCTGATAAAGACCTAAGGTAAGTGTTTACTTTTGGAGGCTTCATTGTCAAGGAGAGAATAAATTAAGGTAGGTGGTCTTGTTTATACTTTATTTATCTGAATCCCTCATTAGATTGTATACTTTTGGGAGTGGTAGCTAACTTTTTTATTTCTATGTCTTCTTTACTTCTCAATATCAGTACCTACTATATGTTGTAGATTTTAGTAAATCAAGTGTTTGTCAAATTAATGAATTAACGCTCGTTTTGTCAAAAATATTAAAAACTATAAACATTTAAAGATGTCTCCCTTAAGGTTAGTCTTTGGACAAAAAAGATTTTAAGTCTTTCCTGTTGCAAGGACAAGTTAGGGGTGAAACTAGTTTTTAATACTAATTTATCTCCAGGCACACATTTGGTGCCATTTTTACAAAATATGTCCTTTATGCCATTTATTTTGGTAGGATTGATTATATGACTGAGGCTATGGGCTTAGACTTTAAATTTCAGTTATTTTACAGGATATTTTCTTCTTATCTTAATTTTTGGTGTTTTTCTCCTGGGATCTTCCAAGTCTGTATTTGTGTGGTTTGGGTCTAGTGACTTATTTCCATCTTAACAGATTTTAGCCACTTAGCAGAGATCATTTTTGGTCTGGAGTGTAAAGGATTACGAAGAGAGAACTCTTGTATCCTTTAACATTATAGAGCATCAGTCCAGTTGGTTTAAAACACTTTTTTTCTTATCTGCTTTCCGCAGAGTAACTTTTGAAAATGGTCATAGTTTCCACGTACCTCAAAAAGAACCTCTAAGTGAAGATACCAGCATTATTCCTGATGTTCTTGAGACTGTTTCTAGATCAGCTGTTCCATCCCACATTAGTCAAGCATCAGAAGAGCAGAGTTCAACACCAACACCAGTGAAAAAGTCTGGCAAGCTGAGGCAGCAAATAGACGTGAAAGCGGAACTGGAGAAGCGGCAAGGAGGGAAGCAGCTCCTCAACTTAGTGGTCATTGGTAATTCCCTTTCTTCCTCTGGATTGTCGGTCAACCGTACTTTAGCTGACAGCTTTCTAGTGGCAGCATGGAAACTCTGAGTTTCTGTATGGGTATAATGGCCATAAAGCAAGGAGACATTTCATCGTAATGCTTTCTAGTCACCCTGGGTGAAATAATGCCAAGTTTCCACGGTCATTAGACTTGGTTGTGCCATTTTCATTTCATGAGCATTTTGAAAATGGCATGTCTTGTTGATAGTTTTAATTTCCCAAAATCGGGGAAATTTCCCCCTTTGTAAAGAGACATACTCTTTCTCCACTTAGATTTTTTAACTGATGTTTGATAAAAATTGGTGTTTATTACTCTAAACACTGACATGAACTATTGAATTACACATTCATGCAATGCTTCAATGTGAACAACATCTGGAAATGTACCTAGTATTAATCCTGAATCAATTTTCCTTAGGTCATGTTGATGCTGGGAAAAGTACTCTGATGGGCCATATGCTTTATCTTCTGGGTAATGTAAACAAAAGAACTATGCATAAGTATGAACAAGAGTCTAAAAAGGCTGGCAAGGCTTCGTTTGCATATGCCTGGGTCCTGGATGAGACGGGCGAAGAAAGGGAAAGGTAGTCACTATATTTCAAAATTTTCAGTTTGAAACGATATAGTCTTTAAAAATAAGTATGTAATATGTGTTGAATATATGAAACATACCATAAAATACTTCAGAGACTTATTTTTAGAAAGCTATTCATTATCAAGGAAATATTTTTATTGTATTTTTCATTGCAACCTATATACTTTTAAAATCCTCCTAGTTCTCTGAGAATAGATTAAAAGAATGTTTATCAAAAACAAAATAAAAACCACACAGAAAGAAGCAATAAAAACCCCAAGCTAAGTATGGGAGAAGTTTCAGTTTTCACTTGCCTAAGTATATGTAAAATTGTCTTGATTTTGAATTAAAATTATGAGTAAGACTCTTAATTTTATATCAGGTTATAAAAAAATGGTAACTCTGTAGTAAACTCTCTTCTGTCTAGACTCAAAATGACCAGTAAATCCAAATTACCAGACTTAATTCATTTTTATACTTTATACTCATATAGTATATTTTTACGAGACAGAGTCAACAAACAAATAATTAAACCTATATTCTACCATATGGATGGTATGTCAGTTACTCCTTCTGTCTCTGTTTACTATGTTCAGTGCTAATCTGGGGGTGGATTCTAGCAGGAGAATGCAGATACTCATATACCTCTGACCAAAGAATATTATTTCTTTCGAAGTCTTTTTAGAGTGGCAATATATATCATGTTACGGCTGTTAGGGATGGGAGAGCCAAAGGACACCCTAATAATTAAGTGAAATGGCAGATATAGCAATTGTGTCAAAATAATAACTCTAAAGACCTGAGAAGTCCTGTGTATGTTTATTTTCTTGCAGTCTTGGATAGTTTACATTACAATGTATAAAGTGATTCTCAGTGAAGCAGGTCACAATATTCCTTAGCTCTTCTGATAAATAGGAATTTATATTATAGTGTTTTTTTTTTTTCCCTTGTAGATATTGTTTTAATTCTGTATAGTATCATAAATCTGTTCTCCATTCTAGTAAGAAAAATGAGCTGGACAGTTCTCTATTTTTGGAGAACAGTGAATTGTGTATGATATCAATATTAGAAGCCTAAATAATTTCTGCCTACTAGCTTAATAAGCAGATTGCTTAAGTATATGGCTTTTTAGTTTCCTTTGTATCATCTAGTAAGTAGGTAAAGAGATTGAGAATGGTAATTTGAGTTAGAATGAATTGTTTGAATTTACTTAGTATGTGAGTTGGGCTGGCAAGTGAGCTAATAATCTATTCGATTCCTATAATGATCCCTCATTTTAGTTTTTTTGATAATATATCTGCTGAGTGGCTATAAAAATTTTGCTGCTGCTAGTTCTCTATTGCTCCGCTTGATATGATTTTTAGAATATTCCTTCATTCTGTAGGTAACAGAAGCTTCCAGGTACATAATGGGAGTTTTAATTTACCACTATATGTTTGTTAATAGCATTTTAAAAATATAATATGTTGCTTGCCCCAACATGTTAAATATTTGTAAGTCCTTTGTTCTTCTCAGATGTTGAAGAACAGAAGTTAATAAACTCAGTGACATTTTCATACCCTTAGGGTTACAAATCTAGACCAGATCTGCATTAAAAGAGTATATGTGAGTTAAAGCAGTCTAGGAAGAGCTTAGAATAAATCTTTGGTCATTACTATTCTGAAGGCCCCCGTGGACCCTAGACTATTTGGGGATTATTAGAGAATTAAGCATCAACTTGGCAAACTCAAATGACCCATGGTTTTAGATTAAACACGAATGGCTTGACTGAGACCTACAGTTACTTTACCACTAGGGTGAACCAACCTGTAGTTTATTATAATTATTGGGACTCTTGGTAGTAAAAGGGAGTGCATGCTATTATTCATTATTTTCTATGATCCTGGGGCAAACCTAGTTTATTGGCCGCATGTTTTCTCCTAAATTTTTGAGGTCTAGAATGACTAGTGCCCTTGTAGACCTTCCCTGGGCTTTCTTATGATATGAATCTACATTTCTGTGGCTGAACAGAGGCACTATGTTGGTCTCCAGAAGGATGAAATGAGGTACGAAGCAAACTATTGTTCATTTCTCTCAATTTTTAAAAAAATTGGGCATCTCCTTTGTTAGCTCCTTTTTTCTAAATTTGTAACCTACCGACCGACTTTGCAAATGAAAAATTTATGTTTATTTCTAGAATTAGTGAAGCATAAACATAGAACATGAAAAAAACTACCTCTACATTCCAGTAATTTTTCATTTGATCTTATGTGCAATATTTATCTTTCCCCCATCTAGAGATGTCCCCATATATTTTTCTTTATTCACATTTTACACTATTTCTTATTTAAAAAAGTAAGGTAGTGGGAAATAACTATCATTTTGATTAGGTTCTTGCTGCGTCCTCAACCTTGTTTTAAAGCCACAAGGTTGTAATACTATTACAGCAAAAATTTCAGCCCCGATTGAGAGCTTAATTATTCAAAATAATGGTCTATATAATAAAATTCCCATTATCACTTAAGAATTTAGATTGTCATTTAGCTTATTATTAAATAACTTAATTCATAGCACATTCTAACCATTTATGTAGTACATTCTAACCATTTTATGTTTATATATAGTACATTATTTATTTATATAGTACACTCTAACCATTATTTATATAGTACCTGATTATTTATATAGTACATTCCAACCATTTTATGTTTTTTTTAAGGGGAGTGACAATGGATGTTGGTATGACAAAGTTTGAAACCACAACCAAAGTTATTACGTTAATGGATGCTCCAGGCCATAAGGATTTCATACCAAATATGATAACAGGAGCAGCCCAGGTACCAGATATTTCCTTAACTATAGGACACTGATTGTACGTAAAATTTCCTGATGCTGGTTTACAGTTCTAGGATTTTAACTTTTAAAATATTTAAAATTAAAATTTTAACTTTTAAAAGTTTAAAAAAGTTTTTAAAAAATAGAGGAATATTATATTTTTAAGATGTCTTTATCTGTACTTTATGAAACTTTTTCTAATTTATTACAAAGAAGCGTATGTATAAAAGCTATGAATTTCTTTATAGTAAAAATAATGGTAAAGTACTTGAAAAAAGGCATAGCTTTATATTTTATTTATTGATAAGTTGGAGTGAATATTTCAAGATCTGTTTTCTTACTCTATTTTTATTCAAGTCTTGTATCTTTTTAAAGAGCTAATTTATACAGAAGTAATGAAGCTTGGGGGTTCTCCCCCCCAAGTGTTTTATTTACTTTCTTTATGGGATTAACAAGTACTTGCAATTTATAAACTTACGTGATTCTTAATAAGAATACTGAAAAAAATCAAAGATATATAACTTTAATTAAAACAATGAAAATAACACTACATACATGGGACATTGATTTCTTTCGTAATGGATGATTATTGGAAAACATGAAGAGTTAAAAAATTTGGCTCTGTTATGTGGCAAAAGTGATTTCAATTAATTGGCCTTTTTCAAGGTTTCACTCATTAAAAAGGTATGAGCATTTGTCTACCTAAAAAGGATATTGTATGAATAAATGAGAATATATTTGAAGATAAATGAGAACTTAATTCTGTTTTAGAAAGTTGATGTATAATTTTACAATATTAATTTAAGACTCATGGACTGAATGTGATAAAAGATTGAAATATAATAATTATCACTGTTGATCAAGTACCTAATATGGGCCAGAAATTATACTTGGTGTTTTGTATGCATTTAGTTTAAATACAGTCCTTATATATATAATATTATGTATATATATACCATAATATATAATCCTTATAATGAGGCATATATTATCCCCATTTCAAATTAAAGTATACTTCTTATTGCATTTACCGAAGGATACAATATAGTTTTAATTTCTTTTTATCTCCCTATATGTATGTATCTATGCGTGTATGTGAGAGTACTTTAAAAAGTTCATGGAAATATTCTTATTATCTTTTAATTCTTTTTTTCTATAAAACTTTTTGAAGTGCCTTCATCTATGTGTGTGGGTATTTTTTTTCATTCAGTGAAAACTTATTGATGCCTGCTATGTGCTAAGCACTGTGGTAGGCAGAGTGGGGAATTTAGTGACTACAGAGCACATTTTGACAGTTTAGTGCAAGAGACAAACACCAGAATAGGCAGTTATAGTAAAACTATGTTTTTGAATTCTAGAACCTTTGACTCCAGAGTTATCATAGAGATAATTTATTCCAAACTCCTTGTGCAGTTAAGGTAGGAAAGGTTTTAGAGATTATCTAATTGAAATCCACTATATAACAAACAAAGAAAGAAACTCGAAGACATTACGTAAGTTAATACTATGTGCAAAATACTGTGGTAGAGTTTGGGGACACAAAGAAGCATACAGGACGTGCTGCCTCTCCTCAAGGAAATTACAGTGTAGGAAGATAAGACATGTAAAGATGAAAACTCTAACAAATGCAGTACAGGAAGAATGTACACAGTATACATTACGAGGAGAGATCGCTTTATACTGCTTGACTGTGAAAGGCCTCCTTGAAAATGTGTAGGCATTTGAGTTCCCAAGGACAAGAGCTGTTACATAGAAAGAATATTGATAGAGAAATTGCCTAGTAATTTTTGGAAGATGGTAATAGGAATGAAGGTTAGATAGAACACTTGCAGCCTTAGACATCTTAATATCAATTTAATGAATTTCAAATTTTAATCTAAGAAGGCGAGTATAATTTTTCAGTTATCAGCGAAAGCTGATGAGAAAGAGATCTACAATTATTGAGCCTAGGATTTGCAAGCTCAGGGCTGGATGCTTTATATAAACTATATTTACCATCCCAGTATTTCTGTGAAGTTGGTAAATTGATAACCCAGAGAGATTAGACAATTTGCCTGGTGTGTGAGACATGATAGCGACTGCAAGCATGAGTGAAAAAGCCAATTTTCAAATTGATTGCCCCAGTTTGTACTAAGAATCCTCGATCAAAAGAACTGGATCTCATTGAAGAAATTAGAGTTCAGCATTATAAGTCATGAAGGATTGAAAATGAATACTGCACTTAAGACTAGAAGTAAAGCAGGACTATTTGGGTAAGAGTGAAAGGAAAAAGAAATAGCGATGACAGTGTGAATTGGCCCCACCAGACAAAGCATATGGATGATACTTCTAATTTAAATGATAAAGTTCTGTTAAGAGTGAAGTATGTGATAAATTCTTGACTTACAAGATGCCCATTTTATTTCCCATTATGGTAAGGATCATATGTGATAATATGTGTGAAATTCTTTAATAACTGAACAGTGCAAACATAGAGTTTCTTGAGGAAGCAATAAAGAGAAAAGCTACGTGCATTCTGTTCTGACCAGAGGCTGGAGCACATAATCATGTGCATGGAATATGTAACAGGACCCTGGAGAGAAAGTGATTATCAGTACAATTAATTGAATAAGCTGCCATTTGAATTAAAATGTTGTGACATTATTTCTAGTATTGATTATTTTTTCTTCCTTAGGCGGATGTAGCTGTTTTAGTTGTAGATGCCAGCAGGGGAGAGTTTGAAGCTGGATTTGAGACTGGAGGACAAACCCGAGAGCATGGCCTCTTGGTCCGTTCTCTTGGGGTGACACAGCTTGCAGTTGCAGTCAATAAAATGGATCAGGTATTTAAGGGCTTCGTAAGAATTATTTTTAGATGCTAATTAAGATAGCATTCTGCCCAATATAGATGACTTCAGATGTTACTAGTATACATTTTATTAGTCAAGTTGCTGCATTTTAAAAAATAAATTCATTATCCTGACTTGTTAAGTCAACAAGACATTTTTAAACAAGTAGATGTCTTTTTATTTTCAAAATGAATTTTTAAAACTTAAAAATTATTTTAATTATAAAATAATGCATGTTTGTTGTAGAATGAAAATATAAAAACCAGAAATAACCTATATTTCCAACTCTCTCCCTCTAAAAGTACTTACATTTCATTTTATACATGGATCCAACTAATTTTTATGGATAAAAATCTTTTCTTTACAACATTGGGTTATAATCTGTTTTGTTCTCTGCTTTTAAAAAAAAAACTGACAGTATTCTTGTGCATGTTTCCAAGCAATTAGTAATTCTTGGATAAAATTAGTCTATTTTAAAGACATTATTTATTCAAACAGTCCCTTACTTTTGAACATTTCCAGTTGTGTGTGTGTGTGTGTGTGTGTGTGTGTGCGTGCGCGTGTGCATGTTTAGAAATGGTTTATCTATGGCTATTTCTGAGCCTAAGGGCATATACCTTTTAAGACTTGCTGAACATGATCAAAATGCCTTTGAGGATAGTTCTAGTTAGTTATTCTTGGTACATATGGTATATTTACTTTCCCAAACTCATCAACACTGCTGTTATTAAAAAAAATATTTTCCAATTTGATGTATAAAACATTGTATTTCCTTTTTTAAAATTCACTGTTCTATGAATGTTAATAATATTTACATGTATTTTGTACATTAAACATTTGTTTTTTTCTTTTGGGAATTATTTATATAATTTGTTCATTTTTTTTTCTTATCAATTTGTAAGCCTACTATTCTTATTAAAGGTATTACCCCTTTATCTTCTCTTTTAGATATTTTTCCCAATTTGTTATTTTAATTTTGTTTATGATAAGTTTTGGACATATACTCAAATTTATAAATATTTCCTTTTGGCATTTTTTAAAAAATATTTAGGGATTTTCATACCTTGTGGTCAGATAAATATTTACCTACATTTTCTGTGTTCTTTATGGTATCACTATTACATATACTTTTAATTTTTCCCTGGCATTGTAGTATGAAAAATTTCAAATATAAAGAAAAATTAAAGGAATTTTACAGTAAACACCCATATTATGCCCATTACTTAAGATTCTGCTACCTGCTTGATCACATTTCTTTTTGTCTGTCTACTGCTGTGTCCATCCATTAATCCATCTTATTTGGCATGCATTTCCACGTAAGTTGCACATATTGTCACACTTACCTGTAGGTACTACAGCATGCATATTGTTATATTACATATACTTTTTTAGTCTGCTTGGTTTCAGAGGGATGTCAGTAGTTTAACAGTTGGTCAAAGCACAATTTAATTAATTATTAATTTTTTCTTTACAAATTTGAAATCACTTTTAGCATATATAAAAAATTCTAAATGTATTGGAGACTGGGTTAGGAAAAATTATTTCTAGGTTATATTAATAGATCTAATATTGAGTTTTAGTTTTAATAGATTTCATATTTAACAGATTTTAAAATTTATATTTTATATAGTCTTGATTATTTACATTTTATTGTGGAAATTTAAATTTTATATGTCATGTACTGATAGTTTTAAAAATAAATTGGATCTTTATCAGGTTAATTGGCAACAAGAAAGGTTTCAAGAGATTACTGGGAAACTTGGGCACTTTCTTAAGCAAGCAGGTTTTAAGGTAAGGTAATTTTAAATTCATTTGGTATTACTTTCCTAAAGTCATCTTACTGATATGGGAGAATAAAAACTAATATTCTGATATTCCTGTTAAATATTTTTAATTTTTGATGTTTTTTGCATTTATTTTCTCATGGTATCATGTAGATAATATACTCTCTGGATTACTTCATCTTAGAAAATTGTGCGTACGTTTAATATTTGGCTTGGATTTTATATAAATAAAAGACTTTTTTCCCACCTATTTAATCAGATAGTATAGGTTTAGGGAGGCAACAGAGGAATGTGGAAACTGATAGACAAGAATTTCTCTAGCAAAAATCTGTAATATGCTTGTGTCATCAGGTAAAAATGCTTGAGTGCAATTTGCAATTTGTTTACAAAATCAAAAACGTTGAAAATGGGGATGTAGTTCTGAGATTTCCATTACTTTTTTAAAAAGTACATTGTTGTTGCTTTTGCAGACTTGATGTAGTTACGGTAATGGTGAGCCTTTTAATTTTTTTTTAAACAACGTATTAAGTTTCATACATTCAATCTTCTTAATAGGAGAGTGATGTAGCTTTTATCCCTACAAGTGGTCTCAGTGGTGAAAATCTAATCACAAGATCTCAGTCAAGTGAACTCACAAAATGGTATAAAGGATTATGTTTATTAGAACAAATTGGTAAGTATACTGTCATTCTAATTTTAATGAATTATAGAGTTCTTTAAGGGAGATGGTAATGTGTTTGAAAAAGTATAGGGTTTGTAGTCGAAGAGCTAGCTTACCTGTTTTGAAGTCGTGCAATATTTAAACTAATACTCAATTTTCCTCGATTAATGGGGCTAAGTGCCTGCTCTACCTATCTCATAGACTTGTTGAAATTAAATAAGATAACGTGTGAGAATACATTCTATCAACTGCAAGGTATTATATGAATGGCAGTCAATTTACTATTACCATTTATAAAAAGTAATTATTTTCTAGAAGTAGGACTATAATGGGTTCATTGGAATAAGTCAGAAATTATGTTTTAAATCAAAGCTTGCTCTTTGCCATTTTTTCCAGATTCCTTCAAGCCTCCTCAACGATCTATTGACAAGCCTTTTAGATTATGTGTGTCTGATGTTTTCAAAGGTAAGTGCTACCTCTACAGTGCTTTTTCATTATGGCCCCTTCCTTTTCATTCTCTCCTGACTTTCTTTCTTGGACTTAGTTATTATATTGTCTCCAGATTCTCCCTTCTCCATGCCAATGTAAGGATCAAATTAATCTTAAAATGCGCAGTTCTAGTCACTTAGCTCCCCTGCCAAAGAAGCACCTTCAGTTTACTCACCGTTCCTCATCTCGTACTCATCTTGCAGGCATAAGAAAACCTTACCTTTTATTTTTCTAACCTCATAGTTTTCTCTCCCATTAGATCCCTTTAGTTTGCATATCCTCCAACCTAAGCGAATTATTTACTGTTTCTTAACCACATAGGGTATTAACTATGATATAAGAGAAACTATAAGATATAAGGAAATTCTATATGGTAATCTAGGGCTGAGGATGGACAAACTTAGAAGAGGTTTAGACTTCGTTGGATAAGGTGCCGTATTAAATACCTGAGAATATATCTAACTTCATGTGTACAAGACCCTATACAGGAAACTAAAAAATGGAAATAGAATAAAAGATCTCAATAAATAAAAGGATGTAACATTTATATATCGGAATAATCAGTGCTGTAAAGATGTCAGTTGTCCTCCCAAATCTCCATTATCACAGACCAGTGAAGAGTTAATTTGGAACTGAGTGGCAATAAATTGATAACTGGCATGCTCAGCCACTCACATACCCCAAAGTGTCCCTCTGTATTCTCTGTACCCCTTATTATTGCATTTTTCATGGAGTATTATAATTGTTTTTGTGCTGTCTGTTCACCTAGATTGTGAACTCAAGGGCAAGTAATGCCTCTTCTATATCTGCAGGATCTAGCCCCAGTGCCTGGTACATAATACATGTTTAATAAGTGAATAAGAAATGAATGAATGTAGGTGCTTTGAAAAAAATCATGCAATGAAATTGAAATTTATCATTATCATTATTAGCTTCCAGTGTTCTAGTAGTAGAAGAAATATGGTAATGGCTTCCAAAATGCCCATTACCTAATAAAAATACTAGGGTTGGTTGCTTTCTTTTAATTTAACAGTGTTTACTAACTCTATGTTCTCATCTCCTGTTCTGTCTTCAGGCTGCTTCTTGGCTTCTGCTTATACTGCTCCCCTCAATGTGTTCTTACTGAGGTCACCAAATGACCTGTTGATTACCAAAGTCAATACACACTTTCAATTCTGTCTTGTATCTTACTTAAATTTGGCATTACTTCTGATTCTGGTAGCCACATCCACCTTGAAACTTTTCTCCTTTGGTTTCTGTGACCCACTTTTTTCTGTTAACCTATTTTCTCTGACCTCTCCAGATCTTCTCTGTGGGCTCCTCATTCTCTGTGTCTTAAGTGGTATTCTTTTGCCTCAGTCTTCTTCTTACTCTACGTGCTCCTTTTGAACCGACATCCTTGAGTTTCTCTGCCTCCTGCATCTTTATGCTTGCCATATTTGTATCTCCAACCCAAACCTGTTCTCCCATCTCCAGACACAGAGTGCCTGCTACTGGGCATTTCCCCTGGGACTGTGCTCTTTGGGGGTATCATTCTTGTGGAATTTGGTGTGATTGGTGCTCCCTGGAATGCAACTTTACGCTTGTATTCTCATAGACACTTTAAATTCATCACGGCTAAGATGGATCTTGTTCCTTAATTTTTTGTCTCACAGTTAATGCATCATTATCTCAGATTTCTCCCTTGTTGTCATTATCCTTCACGTACCTTATCACTCCAAACTTGTCTTCCTTTTTCCCAAATTCTTGAATTTATTCCCTTTTTGTAGTCAGTGTGCATTTCTGTCAGCCTCCATTTGAACACAGAAATACCATGTCACTTCTCTGGTTTACAATTCTTCACTAGCTTTCCATTACTTAACTGCAGGATGAAATTCAAACCCTAAGTGTGATTTATGAGGCTCCTTTATTACTTCTCCCTTGCCTGCTTCTGTTGCCTCATGTCTTGCCTTTCCTTTACTATTCCATATTGTACCCCACCCCCCTGCACCCATAAATGACACATGGCTCTTAGCACATCCAGCACATCACGTTTGGTTATGCCTTTGCACAAGCAGTTTCCTGGGGCAACAAGTCTTCTTTCTTCCCCTACCCACATACACAAGCTGCCTGGTAAACTTCTATTTCTTCTCCTTCAAAGTATCTAGATTAAGTGTGTGTTCTCTCTGTCATGGATTCTTTGGTGTACCTGTTTCTGTTTCCATTGTATTCTTGTGTTTTAAATAGCATTTGTGTTAGGACAATATAATTGTTTTTGTCTTTTTCTTCACTAGTGTAAACTTTTATGGATAATGACGTGTATTTTCATCTCTCTGTCCCCAGAGTTTAGTATGGTGCCTGGTATTTAGTAATCATTCAATAAATATTTGAGAAAGGAATGAACCTCTGCTTTTTTTTTTATCTGTGAGGAAAAATAGTAGAGTGTGGTATAATATATTTAGTAGAGTTGTTAAAGATTCTGAAGTGATCATTACTTTATGTCCATTGAACTACTAGTTTAATATAACTATTTGGGATCTAAATATAGGTAACAGTATTAATCATCAGATAATATTGCTATATATAAATAATTGCTATATATAAATTTTGGCATGTTTTGCAGATCAAGGATCTGGATTTTGTGTAACTGGTAAAATTGAAGCTGGTTATATCCAGACTGGTGACCGTCTACTAGCAATGCCTCCTAATGAAACTTGTACTGCAAAAGGTATTCATCTGCAAGATGTTTTTGCTAAATAAGCCTTCAGTTGAGATAGCAGATTTTTAAAAGTAGTTTAGTTATAACTCCAAAGTAAGTAACCTCTTACTGAAATTGTAACTTACTGTCAAAATGATACTAACTGTTGAAGATTAAAATGTGAAAACATTAAACGATTTTTTTCTGTTGTGACTGTGTTTGTATATATGTACATAAAACATTCTAACTGTGGTAGTATTTTTTGACACTGATTCGGGAAGCTTGGTTAGGATTAACCAGATGTGCTACCAGACAGATACATTTAAAATTGTATTCTGTAGCAGAAATTAAATCTAAACCTAACCTGATACTAAATGGTCAGTGGCAAAGCAGAATGCTACAGTCTGTTGTCTTGAAATATGTATTTCAGAATAACTGTAAGTTAACAGCTTTGATCATGTTTCTAGCAAAAATGTATATGTATTTTATGGGAAGACCTAAGTAGAAAGTAAGATGCAAATGCAGAAAGACCTAATGTTGAAAAGAGAAACTGAGCTGGTTGAAATTGCCAGTCACTGCTTCTGCACATGGATCTAAGTGTATGGCTACTATGTGTAATATCATGATGGCTGATAACTATTTCTGTCTTCTAATCATTTACACTTACATGCATACATGCTATTTTTTCCAAATTCTGACTAAAAGTTTATAACTCTATACTTACCTTAAGGTAAGGCTTCCACCTAAGCCTCTGATTTCAATGTAAAATTGAAGGTCTGTTTTATACTATAAAGTAGTAGTAGTATTTGTAACAAATTTAAGCTGAAGTATATAACCTATTGGGAATGTTAAAATTTTTTGAATTTTAGTATTTTTCCCCGTTGCTCTTAATTTATAGTTTATATACAGAGTTGTAGCTGACTGGTTTATAAGTTTGAATGTTCATTTTGTTTGAATTAATTTGCTCATTTTAAAAACATGTCTTGAAGAATATAAGAAACTAATGAATATCTGTAAAAAGTAACGTACACTTTAAAAATAGTGCTGTTTTCCATAGATCTAGTGTTTGCAAGCACAGCTCACCGTTTTTGCTTTTATAAAGTGGTCAAGAGATACAATACTTTTGAAATACTAATTTTTTTATATATTTAAGTTTTTCGGAGAAAAAGAATTTTTTTATAATCAGTCATGAATTCAAACCATGATCCTAAAATTATCACAGACCTTAAAATTGGCTCCGTTGTGATGTCTAAAATCCTTATTTATAACCTCTGAAAGTCCCACATTCTTTACCTCTCTCTTCTATATCCCTTCCCCACAGAGAAACTACAAACATTATCTTTCATCAGTGGATCTTAAAAGAGAAGTCTTATCAGAAGAAGTACCAGGGAGAACCTCCCTACTTCTTGAGTGCCACTCTTCCAACAACTGAGATGTTCTCAGTCCTTGATTTCTAACACTATTGCTTTTACTTAATTTACTTAATTGTTGAATGCACTGTTCTGTGTGAACACTTTAGGTGCTACTGTGGCTCTCTAACCAGTAGTGTCCCAAAAGGCTGAATCTGCTTCCAACAAATACAAATTCCAGATTACTTCATAACATATCAAGCCCATGGACTATTAAAAAAGATCATCTTTTTGTAAATGTTTGTCCAGTGAGAAAAGTTCTTAGGAAGGTAAATATCATATGTGGGACAATGTCACATGACTGGGGGAAAGAAGAACCAGATAATATAGTTACCTTTGTGAAACTTTATATTGTTAATTTTACTTGTAGTATGAAAGCTCTTCAGAATCTTAGGCCAAAGGCAATATGTGTTGTATGTAAGAAGCTAGCTCCTGTTTTCAATTTCATATTTCATACCAAAAATCATATATGGTCGTTTTAAATTTACATTTAAAAATTAATTAGCTGATATTTAACAAACATTCCTTAATACCATAATTGTTAACATTTAAAAACAAAAATTTTTTTAAAAGATGACCGGTAAGGGGATCTTAACCCTTGACTTGGTGTTGTCAGCACCACACTCTCCTAAGTAAGCGAACCAGCCATCCCTATATTAGGGATCTGAACCTGCCGCCTTGGTGTTATCAGCAACACACTCTCCCAAGTGAGCCACAGGCCGGCCCTTGCTAACATTTTTTGAGCCAAGAATCTCTTTGATACTTGAAAGTTTTGCCCTCTCTTCTCATATTCACACAGATGTACACATACATGAAAGTTTGCATAAAACTGTAGGTTGTCTGAGAGCTCTTGACGTGCTCCTTGAACTCCCCCAAATTCAGAAACTGTCCCCTAAGAGTATGCTACATGGGAAAAAATGAGTATTTTTAGAAAAGTATAGATAAATTATAATTTAACTAAAAATGTTAGTCAAGTACTATTACACAGTTGTTAGCCTACACATTCTCTTCATTAAAATTTAATTTAAAAATGATCCCAGGTATTGCTATATACCTGGAGACATATATACCTGTTTACCGAGAGATAGTTCTGGAGGTAATCCTGGAAAGGAGTTCCCAAGGGCAATACTCAGCTACCTTTTTCAAAGGCTTTTAAAAGATATCCCATAATTTCTTATCACTATTTCCTTGATTCCTTCTTTTCATATAACCAGTTATCAGTATGCAGAGCTCTCTCTGGGAAGAAATTCTCTTTGAGCCAGGAATGTTTAAGGAACCCTCTGAGAGGATCATTAGACATTCTTACTGAGTACTGTTGCCATATGGATTACTTGAAGAGCATAGGCTATTTTTCAGGTGGTTGTCTAACTGAAAGTAAAGCTCAAGAGAATAAAATACTACTAGGCATCTTCCCCAGTCAACATCTTTCATGTCATTAGGAATACCTGGAACTGTTCTATTATACCTTGCAGCCATTAAAATAACAGATATTTGAGTGAAGCATGTGTAATGAATATACCAGGTGTGTAAATGAGTTTTAAAATCTTGATTAAATAAGCAGAAGTCAGCCTTTTATGGGCAAATGCAAGTCGGTTTATGTTTAGGGTGGTATTCTAGAAGAGTCAAGTCTAGAGGAAGTGTTTTCCTCAACGCTCACAGTTACACTTCTCGCTCTCAATCCATTCATATTGAAAATGATGAGTAGTGACTGATGAAGCACAAATCAGCCATACTCTCTTGGTTATTATGGTTTGATATCGAGGTGTCATTGTATGCTTTGGTTCTTACTCATTTCCAGGAATCACTCTGCATGATGAACCTGTTGATTGGGCTGCAGCAGGTGATCATGTTAGTCTTACTTTGGTTGGGATGGATATCATCAAAATCAAGTAAGTGAGAAAATGAGTTTAAGCAGCCATTGTCTTGGGTATAGGACCTCAGAACACATAAATTTTGCAATCCACTAGCTCAATTTTTAATCTCATTTGGCCAAAAATAGACATTTGTGGAAGTATAAGCAAAACCTACTTAAAATCAGAATTAATGCCTATCAGCACAAGTACACTTGGAATGTTCTTTGAATGAAAGCAGTAATGTATGAAAATGATGTAAAGTTAATAAGTTTAAAGCCATGGTTTAACCCAGAAGAGAATACTTAGAAAAAATCCTTAATTTACCTAAATATTTTATTTTTTTTGTAAATGGTTTGAGAGGTATTCCTATTTGATGTAAATTTATTTGTCCCCCACCTACCTACCCTCTTTTTTATTACAGTGTTGGCTGCATATTTTGTGGTCCCAAAGAACCCATTAAAGCTTGCACTCGATTCAGAGCTCGAATCCTCATCTTTAATATTGAAATTCCTATCACTAAAGGATTTCCTGTAAGTGTCAAAGTGTTTTATTTTTATTCTTGTTTTTATAAATTCGAAGTAACTTTATCCTAAAAAGTAATAACTTTCATTACAAGTGGTGATGCTATATTTATTTTCAGTTAACATCTTATTACTCCAATACAGAAAAATGTAAATTAGAATTTGGAAATCATTTTTATTTTGATCCTTGATTGTGAGGATGTTTTCAGAGACATTGAGAAGATATTTCATAATCAATTGGATACACATTGTTGTTAACGATAAAATTTATCCAGGGAAAATGGTAGATATGTTTTCACTGTGTTTTAAAGATTACCTTACTAATCTTTTTAGATTGGGTCTTTATGTTTTTTGTTTTGTTTAATATGCTTATCTGTAGTTTTTCTGATTATAGAAGTAATAGATTATTTTAGAAAATCTTGGAAAACACAAAAAAATACAGAAAAGAATGCTCTATAATTGCATAATCCATAGAGATCTACTCTTTACATGTCAGTGTATTTTTATGTGTATATATTATCCTGGGGATCCTCAACATGTGGTAAACTTTAATTGTGCTGAAGCAACACAGTCAGACCCTGCATGCTGTGAAGTTGGTTTGCAGGTCATCGTTGACCAGCGTCCTTTGAACATACACATTTTATGGAAAGAGGGGGATTTTATGCCATAATCTAGGAAAGATACTATTTGTGAATAGCCTGAATTCCTTATTTTATGTGTAATTTTTTCCATATATTAAGGACCATACTCTTTATAGTTTGGTACCTTGCTTTTGTCACTTAACAGAGAAGCATTTTTCTGTGTGATGGTAAACAATGTTTCTCAGTGGGACTAAATGCTTTGCCTTTGAAAATATAAATGAATCATTTTCACCTTCTGATGCATCTTTGATATAAAAGTATGACAGTTATAGTAATTGACCTTTAAATTATTTTACATTAGTGATAGTGTTTTAGAGGTTGGGAATAAATTTATTTAGCTCATTTAAATTCATTTTATAATTATATACCATATTCGAGATAAGTACTTTGCTTATAATTCTTTGTAATTATTTCCATATAAATTTGATTCAATAAAACTTGTATTTGTAAGATACTGTTTAAGTACTTTACTTGTATAATTATTTTCTGTTTCTTCCATACACTAAAAAAGGAATAAAAGCATCTCTCCAAAATTATAGTTGAAAATATTTAAATATTCAGAATTCATGTTTTGATCGGCAAGTTAACTACAAGTTAACTGCTTATGAGTGAATGGAACTCATTCATAGAAAGCAGTTATGTCCTATGGGGAGAAGGCGGAGAGGTTGGTTACTGCATGTTTTTACTCATGCAATAGTATTTGCCAATGGAGAGGTAGAGAGGTCAAGAGGTGAATAGTTACTTTGAATAGTAATACTGTCTTCCTGTCTACTGTAGTTTCTTAAAAATAAGCAAGAATAGAAAGTTTTTCAGCGTCACTATATGTGATTCTACCCGCGTATATTGATTCACAAATACCAGGATGAAATTTGTTCAGAAAAAAGTGGTCATATTTTGTCAATCAGCCCGCTCCCAAAGGGGAAAAAACTTCAAAAAAATTTCGTTAACCAAGAAAAGGCTTCCTAAGCAATTAAAATTTCACTGTTTAGGGACTAACTCCTTAATGCTACATAAATAAATTTAGATTTCCCTTAGTTTATATGGTAAACCTTATTTTTTAAGAAGAAACAATACAAGGATGGATTAGACTTTAACTGAATTTACATTTGATTTTTTTTTATTTTGATAAAGTATACATGACATGAACTTTACCATTTTGACCATTTTTAAGTGTTCAATTCAGTGAATTAAGTACATCCACAATGTTGTGCAACCATTACCACTTTCCATCTCCAGAACTTTTTCATCATCCCAAGCTGAAAATGTGTACCCATTTAAACATTAACTCCTTCCCCTATGCCCAGGTAACCATTAGTCTACTTAATTTCTTTCTGAATTTGCCTGTTCTGGGCCCCTCATGTAAGTGGGATCATACAAATTTGTTCTTTTGTGTTTGGCTTATTTCACTTATTATGTTTTTATGGTTTATCTATGTTGTAGCATGTATCAGAATTTCTTCCCCTTTTAAGTCTTTATAACATTCCATTGTATGAATATACCACATTTTGTTTATCCGTTCATTCCTTTGATGGACATTTGAATTATTTCCATCTTTTGGCTATTGTCAATAATGCTGCTGTGAACATGTATATGTAAATATCTGTTCAAATCCTTGCTTTCAGTTCTTTTGGCATTACCTAGGAGTGGAATTGCTGGATCTTATGGTAATTCTATGTTTAACTTTTTGAGAAACTGCTAAATCATTTTCCACAGCAACTGTACCAGATTCCTGCTAACAGTGCACAAGAAAGTTTTTTTTTTTTTATAATGGGTATAAAGTGGTATCTCATGGTGGTTTTGATTTGCATTTCTCTAATGATTAGTGATGTTGAGCATTTTTTCATGTACTTATTGGCTGTTTGTATATTTTCTTTGGAGAAATGTCTATTCAAGTCCTTTGCCCATTTTTGAATTAGGTTATTTTTTTGCTGTTGAGTTGTAGGAATTCTTTGTATATTTTAAGTATTAATCCCTTGTCAGATACATGATTAGTAAATATTTTCTCCTATTTTGTGGGTTGTATTTTCATTCTCTTGATAGTGTTCTTTGATGCACAAAAGTGTTTATTTTTTCTTTCGTTGCCTATGTTTTTGGTGTCATAACCAAGAAATCATCGCCAAATCCAATGTCATGAATTTTTTTTTTTTTCTCTAAGAGTTTTATAGTTTTAGCTCTTATGTTTAGGTCTTTGATCCATTTTGCGTTAGTTTTTGTATATGGTATAAAACAAAGCTTCACCTTTATTCTTTTGCATGTGGATATCCAGTTTTCCCAGCACCATTTGTTGAAAAGACTGTCCTTTCCCTAATGAATGGTCTTGACACCCTTGTTGAAAATCAGATGACCATATATTTGTTGATATTTTAAAAATATGGGTTACCTAAAAGTTTAAAGAAAATAACTTTCATGGTTCCCCTTGCATTTCTGTTTTCTAAATTTAAACTGTTTTGACCAGAAAAATTTAGCAGTGTCAGTGTTTCTGCAATCAAACAGCATAAAATGGTATTTACAAACCAACTAAGCTTTCATAGCTTTTCTACTTCCTGGGAAGGTACAGTCTTTCCACTGTACCTAAACTATGGACATATTGCATATTTATTTATTTATTTATTTGCTGTGAAGGTATTTTTATTTATTTGTTTTTAGTACTACCATTCACAACTACATGGATGAACTTAGAAAAAATTATATTAAGTGAAACAAATCAGGCACAGAAAGAGAAATACCGCATGTTCTTACTTATTTGTGGGAGCTAAAAATAAATAAGTAAATAAATATATGAACAAATAAACGGTATGGGGGGGAGAAGACACAAGAATCACAACAATTCCTTGAACTTGTTAAGACAAGTGAACAGATATGAGGTAGTGGTGGGGGGGAGATGAGGGGGGGGAAGAGAAATGGGTAAAGGGGCATATTGCATATTTAATGCTTATTAATTGAATGAGGATAGTCAGTGTAAGTATGTTCTGGTTTGGATTAGGATTTGTCCAAGCCTTAGCTTCCTCTTTTACAAAATGGAAGGTTCTATTCATGTAATTTCTACAGCCCCTCAGTAAGGTAAAGAGGGAGGAGCTTGGGATTTGTAGCTCCAACTGATAACGTATCATTATGGCCACGTTAAGTTACTTAATCTTTTTGATATTAATTTTCCTTAAATATAAGACGTGGATAATAATAGTTAATATATAAGCTAATATATAAAGACATCAATTAAGTGAATATTTACTAAGCACCAGGCACTACTTTAAAATAATATTATCTGATTTTCCTCATTTTAGTGATAAGGAACCTGAGACTGGGAATTTTGGGTGTAGAGGATTGATAAAGAACTTGTCCCAAATCATACAGCTTGAAAGTGATTTGAACCCAGGTCTGTCTGACTTTAAAGCCTGTATAAATTAGATTAAATAGTGCATATATGTCATGTCATACAATGCTTGGCACTCACTGTAAAATATGTTATTTTTCTTTTCTCTGTACCTCTATATTTGTAACGTATTACTCGTTATTCAGCAATGAATACAGTAATTACTGCTGCATGTGACATCCCCCTTCTTTCGTTTTTATGATGAAGCTATTCATACTTGTTGAATATCTACTTTGCCAGGGACTGTGTTGATCCTAGTGAATTCTCTTCACAACCCTGTAAAAAGCCTACCTATTTTATAGCTAAGGAAACTGAGGTACAGACATATTAAAGTGAAAGAGTTGGGATTCAATCCAATTCTTTCCTGCTACTCCTAATAACAACAACAACAGCAATTGTTCTGAATGATAAATTCTTTTACTTAATCTTTACAACAACCCTGAGATGTTATCCTTCACCTTTACAGAGGAAAAAACTGATAGGAGGGTTGTGCGGTTTACTGAAGTTTACACGGTAAGAGGTGGGGTAGGAATTTGGACTGCCTCTCATGACCTTTTTCCCTTATGTAAGTTAAGTGATTAGAGTGGTGGGACTTCGAGGAAGCAACTGAAGATCCTGAAAAACTCCAAGCAGTAGAACTGAATTGAATATAATTAAATGTAAGTGCCAAAGAAAAGGCCAGAGATGCTATGGTAAACAGTTTTTAATATTACAATTTTTTATTTTAGGTACTGTTACACTACCAAACTGTCAGTGAACCTGCCGTTATTAAACGATTGATCAGCATCTTAAACAAAAGCACCGGTGAGGTCACACAAAAAAAGCCCAAGTGAGTGTTTTAATGCAGAAATCATAAACACAAACAAGTTAAGCAAATTCCTTACAGATTAACTCATTTGTGTAGTATTTCTCTTGGTGGTAAGTGAAATCTATTTTTACTTGTTCCAGAAATCATTTTTCTCAGGGACTAGATTAAAGCAAACATAAAAACAAACTCCTGTTTAGGTATGAGTCCTAGATATAATTTCTGTTATCTATGATGGTGGGGGATGTGAATTGTAAATAAAAAAATGTAAATATAAATTTATCTATGTGTATGTATACTGATGATGTAAAAACAAGGACATTTCAAAAACCAGTCCTACATTTTTAAAGATGAATTTGAATTATGTGTAGCCACTGTTTCCAAATTTTAGCTGCTTAACTTTCTTATCAGCTCCTTAATGAGGTCATTCCCTATGCCAGGAAGAGAATGATCTGCACACTCTGTAGCACCTAGTTTTTCCCCGCCCGCGAAGTATTTGGTAATCACCTCTATGTTGTATCCCCTGATTACCATTAATGTCCAGGCCTGTGTATGGATAGTTTCCCTTTGGCTGAGACAAGCTCAGGATTTTTCAAAGGAAGTACTTCCTGAGAAACTAAGTACTGTAAATAAAAATGAAATACAAAAGACTAGAGATGAATGTTACAAAATACTGATTTCTTACCCAAATTCAACTAAAGGCTAAAGGGCTTGGCTGGTTCAGCTTTGGGGTTTTCCTGTTCAACCATATGGGGAATCCCACCCAAAACCCCCCTTTTTCAATACTTGGGTGTTCTTCATCTTCTGCACCTGCATAAGAGGCAGTGGGTTAATGGGTTGGCTGTAAGTGGAAGAGAACATCTCCACACTGCTCTAAAGTCATGCCCTATTCTCTGTTAGTTAGGAGAAAGGGCTGCTTTACCTCTCAAAGGTAGTTCTTTATTTTTAACCTGAGTCTTTGGCTTCTAGCATGAGTGTTTGCCATAATGTTCTGACTAACATTTCATGAGGACCACTATTTTCTAGACTCTGTCATGAATGCTTACATATGATTTATATTCTCAGCAATCATATAAAGTAGCTAGCAAAGTGACATCTCAAGAGGCAGAGGCAGGATGCTAAACCAGTCAGTTGGTTTACATAAATTATATTCTTTTGTGCAGGAGCCTGGTTGGTGGACGCAGACAATTGATTTGGAGAGTTTTTAATCTGAAATTGGCTCATTACATCTAATCCTGAGTTTTCTCCTCCCTGTTCCTGCTACAGAATCCTAGCTCAGCGATGCTAGGGTTTAGTAGTATTCTCATGTTAGTTTTAGGTGTCCCCTTATGTATCGCTTTGACCTTTTCTCTCATTTAGCACCAACATCGTTTGGCCTTTTTCCTTCACTCCAGTTCAGGCATATCATAGACTCTTGATTGCCTCATGTGGAATGGAATTGAACTTTCTAGAAACTAAATTAAGCATTAGTCATGAATATATTATATACTCTCTTTCCTACAGAATTGGACTTTGGGCTGAAATCATCCAGAACCAATGTTATGAAATGTTGGTGTATTTTTAAAGAAACTTGTTTGGCTTAGTCTATCTGTCTTCCCTGAACTAATGTATTAGAAAGAGAGTTTACAGTTTCTGTCTCTATCCTTCTAGAGTATATGAAAACTAAATTAAAGAATGTTTCCAAAATGTGCCTTTCTAGGTTCTCCTTTCAGTAAAACTGAGTGGGGCCCATGCACAGGGATTTTTGTTTTTTTGTTTATTGAATTGTATGAAACCATTTATAATCTGGCCAATGCCCTATCTCCCCTTCATTTATAAGTTTCATATTGTAGAAAAGCTCCTTATGTTATTTTGTCCTGGACTCCTGCTAAGGAACCATTATTCCTATGTGGAGGGAGAGAGAGAGAGATTGATTGATTGGTTGATTTAGAGTAGTCTTGGCACCAGGAGATTGTCCTCTTTAAAGATAACTTCCTAACCCACTTTCCACAAATTAGAATTTTACTGGGAAAGACATAGGGCATTGTATACCTCTTTTAAAATGCAAATACCTCCTATAGTATTAAGCCTTAGTATCACTTTCTTTATAAGATAATTGAACTTCTCAATTTCTTGAGGGAATAAAAGGGAAAGCATTGATCAGGAAGGGCCTTGAGCATTTTAGGCTATAGTTAGTACTTCAAGGGATAGAGTTGTATTTGGAAGATTGGTAAAAATACATGTATGAACTACCTAAGGTTTCTTAAACCTGGAATTACTCCTCTCATTTATTTCAGCTAACCTAGAAAAATTCAAAAGCATGTATTTTTATTAAAAAAATCTTTTTCTTTTTGGTTTTTGAAGAACTAAGTTGATTTGTTGATTGAATGTGAAATAATTATTTTTCAGGTAGTTTTCACATTATTCACCTCTATCGTATATCCGTTTGTTCCCTTTTCTTTTTTCCCTAATAGGTTGTTGACTAAAGGTCAGAATGCATTGGTAGAGCTACAGACACAAAGACCAATAGCTCTTGAGCTATACAAAGACTTTAAGGAGCTGGGGAGGTTCATGTTGCGTTACAGTGGTTCTACAATAGCTGCTGGTGTCGTCACTGAGGTATTTTAAAGTGACAGATTATATATCCGTGATTATGATGTCTTTTCTTTTTTATCTTTTACGGATGAGTACTGAGATGTTATTGCTTAAGGGAAACACAGTTATGATATTAGAACAAGAAATTAAAATTTATATAAAAAATTTAAAAGAATGGGGCCGGCCCGGTGGCGCACTGGATAAGTGCGCCGCTTGGGAAGCACGGCGGCGCTCCCGCCCGAGGGTTCGGATCCCACATACAGACCGGTTCCCGCTCACTGGCTGAGCGAGGCGCGGGAGCAGCACCGAGGGTTGCAATCCC